GAGACAGCAGATGGGTATGTTGAACTGAAAGGTTCTATAAACTGCAGTCAGACAGTGATTTCCATTCCTTGGAGAGGATACAGCAGCAGTGTGGTGTAGGATACATTACAGGTGACTGTCATATTTTTCAAGCAGCTTAGCAGTGATTGTGACTTGTGTGAAAGCTGTTGTTTAACACAAGGAACAGATCTGTTGCTTTCTGAAGGGGAAAGAAGTTGCTTTTTCAAGAGAAAGAAGGTTGTGGATGTAGAAGCAATGTGAGCAGAAAGCCAGGCAGGTCTGGCACCCATTGGTACTGAATTAATACTATCTACTATTGTTGTCTCTTGGCATGTGTGTGGTCAGACCTGTAGGATTCTGCTTAGTGTGCTGAAAACCCCACCAAATACATGAGGTTTTATGAACTGACTTCTCCCCAACACTTACTGCATGTGAAGTAAAGCAGACTCGCTCTGGGGGCTGAGGTAGGGTGTTTATGTCCGTGTGAAAAGCCCAGCTCTTTTTGGAGGTATCATATGTGAACTGGGGAGAATGTTGTCCCTAAAAACCCAAGAAAAACAAGCCCTCTTTAAGGAGCTCTCCTTTTATTTGCTTTTGGTGCCTTCGAACTCGGCAGTAGGTCAGATGAACTCTGGTAAATGTAATGGTAAAGAACATTGTGTCTCCAGTTCCTTGGCCTGTTACTGAACTCGGTACCTGGCATAAGCAGAAAAGCATCCTGTTCATTTGCAATGATTTAACATTTACTGGTTTCCCTGTGTTTCTGTGAAAGAGTTTCTTATGGTGATCCCTGGTGGATAGTTACAATCTGCTTAAAATGCAGACTCTGTAAAAACCAGGCAAAGAAAACACCCTTTATGATCAAAAAATAGTTTCTACAATAAAAACCACCCCACCTTGTTGGTTTTACATTGAACGGATCAAAATGACTTGTCCAAAATGAAGTTTCTGTGCTGTCCTGTAGAAGGAGGTAGGGGGGAAATGGTACAGCTCCATAAAACTGTGATTACTTGGGTCTGTTTTCATAGTGGGATATAACAGAATACTTAAAAGGGGCTGTAGAAACTCGCAAGTGCTTCATGGATGGTTGTTCTAATGTGATTCATCTAGAAACGCTGTTAATTACAAAATGGAAGCAAAGGAGGAGCTCTATCAAAGTAAGCAAATACTGCTTCAAACAAAGATAGCTTTCAAACAGTAAGGATTAAAAATCATCTTTTATAACTCTTTTAGCTTAGTAGATGGCAGGCATTTCAGATGCCCTCAAAAGCCCAGCTATCAGACATGATATTTCTATGCTGTCATGCATGTTTCTATGATGTCTGTCTTGTGAATAATCCATGTTTAGGAGCTGTGCACACTGCAGTAGTTACACCAATTGCTTTAGGCAGGGTGAATTCAACCCAAGTAAATGCTGGTGGTTTCTGGAGCCCTGTTGATGATTTCCCCTTTAGTGATGAAGAAGAAAATTCCTGCTTTTTCCTTGCTTAGGTCCCTGCCTCTGAGTCCACGTCGTGTTCTGTTCACATTGAGGTAATGGGAAAGGCAGACTTTTTCCCAAGAATCCAAAATAAACATTTATCTTGGTGCCTTATGAAAAACACAGAGGAAAGGAAGCGTGTTGGGCCTACAGAAGTGATGGAGTCTTTTATATAGGGATAATTTATTGATTCTTGGGCTTTTGTGAAAGGAGGGTTCAGTGAGGTGTATGGCCTCATTAAATAGGCTGGAACAATTCTGATTCTGGCTTTTTTTCCTTAAGACTGAATATATCCTGTTACATGTTTGTGCAAAAGGAGCAAAGGTGGCATTCAGGACTCTTACCACCCACGTTGCCTGTTGTAATAAACCATCTGCCATGAAGTCTTAATGATTTGCAAGAGTGTCCCATGTAGACACTGGAAGTGTGAAACTGAAAGCACATAGTATGCCCCCTGCCTCCCCTGTTAGGTGCTTGTAACCATCAATAGCTGGCAGTGCTTGAGTGCTTCACTGGGGTAATTCTTTCTCCTGAGCTCAGGATCTTGGCATCTTGGGAGTGCAAGTGTTAGTGACTTGATGGCGAGGGACAGCAACATGGCAGTTGAGTTACTATACCCTCCAGCTACAAGGCAATTTCTCATGGGAGCTTGATATTTAAGTACTTCCTCTTTAGAAAGATAGAGATACACTAAAAACTTCTTGCATGTTCTTACTTTGCTATCATATAGTATGTGTTTGAAAGGGTTTTTAACAAGGCTTTGCTTCCTTGGGTGACATGGTCTAGTGTGAGGTGTCCCTGTCCATGGCAGGGGCTTGGAATGGGGTGATCTTAATGTCCTTTCCAACCCAAACCATGTTATGATGATGATTCTCTGATGCCGATGATATACCTGTTTAAGTCTGAATAGTATTTAATGGATTTGTAGTGGCAGTGTTTCAGTACTCAAAATGACTTTGGATGGGATAATATTTTGTCCTGTTTATGTCAGGTTTGAAGAATTGAGCTACACAAAGGGACGCAAATGATTTTTTAATATTTACTAATATATTTCAAGGGCATCCTCCTTATTCATAGCAAATATTCCATGGTGGTTTATTATTACCCTTATTACAAGGGGTGATGGGTTTAAACTGAAACAGGGGAAGTTTGGGTTAGATATAAGGCAGAAGTTCTTCCCTGCGAGGGTGCTGAGGCGCTGGCACAGGGTGCCCAGTGAAGCTGTGGCTGCCCCATCCCTGGCAGTGTTCAAGGCCAGGTTGGACACAGGGGCTTGGAGCAACCTGCTCTAGTGGAAGGTGTCCCTGCCTGTGGCAGGGGGTTGGAGCTGGTTGAGCTTTAAGGTCCCTTCCAGCACAAACCAGTCTGGGATTCTATGGATCTGTTTATACATCTTCAGTAGCTGCAGCAAGGCAGGGGGACAAAAGAATATTTCCAGAGACAAACTCATCCACCTGAGGTGTGTGCTGAGACCTGGTAAACGGCTGGTTGCAGGACGCTGTGATCTGTGCCTTCAGGGGCACCTGGGCAAAACCCCTCTTCTCTGCAAAATCAACAGGGAGGAAAGCTGGATAATGCTGATGTGAACACCACTGGCCAAGAGAGGAGACCTGGGGAGAAGATTCGCTCCACTCTATGTATCTGTGCTCAGAACAGGGCTGCTTATCTGTTGTCGAGGGATGAAATGGGTCCTGAAACAGCACTTTCATCTTTGCCTTGTAAAGGATGATAAACACATGAATGACTCCAGAAAGTATCTGAATACCATGTTTTATGTCATGGAGTATAATGAAACACCTGCTTCTGTGACAGAGGTATGGATAGAATGAGAAGGAATTAAGAGGAGTGTTATTTTTAACAGTTTAGCCAGCACTCAGGAATTGACTTAGGAAGTGAAGGTCACAAGTTCAGCAGCATTTGTCACTTCAACCTGGTTCCTAATTAAACAACTTTTAACATTATAAAGTTGCAGTATACTCACAAGTGCCACAGTTTTCATGCACTGTGTGTGTGGTAAAACACAGGCATCAGATGGGAGTAAATCTCAGCCTTCCAATCTTTAGAAGTATTTTTCTTTATATATATATAAGAAAAAAAAATATATATATGAGTTCATCAGTGAGCCAAGGGCTGCTGAAATATGTTTGGCGATAATCCCTGTTGCCTCCAAACACAGCTGAACAAACAGCCCACAGCTCACACAGGGAGACAGGCCAATTGGGTAGGAGGGCAGGAGGGGACAGCGTGGTGGATTCGGTGTCCCAGCATGAGGAGAAGCACACTGCCACCTCTGTGTGGATATAGCCACTAGGAACTGGGCTCAGGAACTGGTTGGTCCTGTGGGTGGGGTGGTAGAGAAAGACCTCTATAGTTTTCCAGCATATATTAAATGACTAAAATGATTTTAAATAAACTTAAAGCTTTGTGTGTCTTAAAAACTCCCTCAGTTTGGGAATTTGACCCGTAGGGTTATTGGAAAGAAAGAAAAATTAGGTTGTTTTTTCTTGATGGGAGATCAAAATCCAGCAGTCTGTTCTTTAAAGGCATTTGTTGCTTTCAGGGAGGGCTTTCCTGGAATCAGATTATTACAGCGTGTTAGTAATGTGGCATCACTTTGCTCTTTTTATGGCATTCTTTTGCTCTTCGTGACTTTGCCACTTTAAGAGACTCTTTCTCTGTATTTAATGTGTAGTAAGCTGGAAGCTTCAGGAGATTGACCACAGAGACTCTGCTGGCTGCACATGAGGAAAGCGTGCACAAGACCAGATTATTTCTGAGTAGTGGAGTTCGGTGAGGCCACATCTGCAACCTGAGTGATTTTACAACCACTGTTAGCAGAAGCACAAGGCATGGAATAACCACCATCTATTATAGCTGTGCAGCATGAAGTGCTATTCTTATGACCAGCATTAGGAGCTGGAAATCCAGATACAGAAGTTGAGCAAGAGAAGCATCTTGAAGGGACTGACTTGGAAAACTTGAAGGAGGTTGTGCCCTTCAGCATCAGCTGTAGCTCCCAAGGAGCAGCAAAACACTGTGGCAACCAGGTCCAATGAACACTGATGGTGCAGTAGGCTAAAACATGATCTGGAGTGACGTGGTAACAGGTTAGACAGAGCCTTGGGTGATATGGTCTAGTGTGAGGAGTCCCTGCCCATGGCAGAGAGTTGGAACTATATGATCCTAAGGTCCTTTCCAACCCAAACCAGTCTGGGATTCTATGATAAACCATGGCTGAATGCAAAGAAGGTTTCCCCTCCTACACCCATTGCCTTGGGAAAGATCATGCTGAGAATGAGAACATCAATGAGATCATTGAATGGGATCAAATACTAATTTTACTTCGATGCACTTGTGGTCTGAAAAGCAGTTTTTCTATTGCTGATGCTCTTGCATACTTCTGTAGCAGTGCTCTGCAGTGGTGACTTGGATATTTCATGCTTTCTGCTCCTCTCTTTTGCTTTGTTTCTCCTTAGTTTTCTTTAGTTTTGATGCTTTTCTCCTTCATCCTTTCCTTTAGGAGAAGCCCTTTGTGTCAGAAGCAGCCAGGAAAAGAGAGAGAGACTTGGTAGCCAAAGAAATTGAGAAGTTTCAGGTCTCTATTCAGACTCTGTGCAGGAGTGCTCTGACACTTGGCAGGATCATGGATTACATCCAGGAAGATATGGATGCCATGAAGAACGAGTTGCAGATGTGGCGGCAGGAGAACAGGCAGCACGCAGAAACTCTACAGAAGGAGCAGAGGTGAGTGTGGGCAGGGAAAGGTTCATTTATCTCTTGAGACAGATTTCTGGGGTTGGGAAGAGTTTAACTCATTTTTAAAAGCAGATTTGTCATCAGTCATTTCTGTGGATTGGACTTGAAGCGTTCAGGTCTTTTCAGCTCAATTTATCATGATGGACATGGCAGCAGAGATGCAAATGTGTGATAGGAGAGGGCTTGATTTGTTTGCTGCTTCTCACAAATAAAGGAGCAGTGAGGGAAGAGCAAAGTAGATTTGGAATGGGACTAAGAGTGGATTCCTAAATCACAACCTGCTGTCTCTGTGCCATTGAATTCAGGGTGTTCTGCAGTGGTGTTAATAACAGTTGTCATCTGTGCAAGGTTGAAAGGACAGCCCTGGAAAGCTAGGAGAGTGAAGGGGATGTGCACGATAGAAACAAGGAGGTCAAGCCTCAAACCAGTTTCTTTGGCCTTACTTTGTCTCACCAACATGTCTTTATGTTCCTTGAAACCAGAATATTCTCTCCAGCTGTGTGTCCTCTGATCTTGAACATGAACTAGGTAGTGATGATCTTGGATTCACAAGCATCCTAGATTTGCTGTTCCCTGAATCAGTGTGCTTCACTCATGCATGAATGGGTGGCATTCTTAGCTAAGTCCTATCTTGGTAGGTAGCAATGTATTAAATGTTGGAATTTACAGCAGCTGGCTTAGTCCACTGCCTGGGGTGGGAACTAAGGCCTTCCTTCACGTATAAAGTATAATGATGTTAATTCCTTGCACTTCCATAGCACCTTCTATCCCAAACCTTTGACAGGCTTTAAAACCCTGGTTGGGTTCTGAATGCAGCACTGCTGCAAAGAGGAAGGGAACAGTGTTTGGCTTTATTTTATAGCTGGAGAAACTGAGTCATTGACTCACCTTTGCACCGCACCTAGTGATGTGTCCTATGGATCCTCATCAGACCAGTGGAGTGCTAAGGCATGTCCACTCCTTCAGGAAAGAATGAGCATCAGATGTGAAGAAGACAATGCTTTCCATGTACAGTGCAGTTTGGATGCTTGTCTTTTTCTTTGTTCCTGTGAAAGATAATTGACAAATCCCATTGGAGAATAGTGCAGTTTCTAGCAGTGCTTTTTGTGGTTTATGCTAATGTGGTGGAAAAAAGGGGAAAGCTAAATGATTTTGGGATGTGGACTTTATCTGGGGCTCAAAGTGACTGGGTAGTTCAGAATGAGAGCAGACCAGTTTGGTCTGTCATTTTTCTGCCTGTTCAGCATTCTTGGAAGATGAGCAAAGCATTATAGAAGTGGGCACATTGGTTGTAAAGCCAAAGAGCCCCATTCACTTAAAATGTATCAGTGTCCTTGTTTATTAGCATAGGATTTATTACATTTCCTGTTAGTGTGGAATTACCTGCCCTTGTCAGCAGCTAGTGATGGGTTGGTTTTCATATAGAATCATAGAATCACAGAGTGATTTGGGTTGGAAAGGACCTTAAAGCTTATCCAGTTCCAACCTCTGCCACAGGGAGGGACACCTTCCACTAGAGCAGATTTCTCCAAGCCCTGTCCAACCTGGCCTTGAACATGGCCAGGGATGGGGCAGCCACAGCTTCTCTGCCTAGAGTGGGATGCAATAATGGCAAAGAGCCTTAGCAGAAGAGCTGGATTAGCCAAGAAATGGCTGTTTAGTGTTCAGTTGCAGGTGATCTCTCTTGAACAGTCTTCTCTGGGTTGTTAGTTTTGCCTTTGTGCTTCTTACTCTGAAAGTTATTTCAGAAGGTGTGGGCACAACTTAAATCCTTTGCAGACTTTCAGGTACTGTATGTGCTTTCTTGGAAGCTTAAGTAACTAGAGTTAACACGTTTTCACTCACATTATGCTCTTTGTGTCTCTTTCAGCATCACAGACAGCGCTGTTGAACCATTAAAAGCTGATCTGGCTGAACTGGACCAGTTGATTAAAGACCAGCAAGACAAGATATGTGCTGTAAAAGCTAATATTATAAAGAATGAAGAGAAAATCCGGAGGATGGTTCTTAACATAAACCTGTCTTCCAAAAGGTGAAGAACTGGAATTGACTGACATTGCTACCAAATAAAAACCAAATAGCAGAAAAAATGAAGATATCTGTTGTTGAGATATAAAATGTTTAGGGACCCAAAGCCTAAAACTTGTATAAAAGCCCATTATTGCATTGATCTTTAGAAGTTGATATTACTTGGGATAGAATGATATTCATTTGAATGCTCAAGTTGTAGAGCTATTAAAATAACTTGTTTGTTTAAATGTGAACTGCTGTTACTCACCAGGTCCTCACAGCCCTTTTTCCCCTCCCTGGCCTGTTGAGCACAGTTTCTGAGCCACTTCTCTTTCCATCTCCTTTTCATTGCCACTGAGGTTCCTGTTGAACGCGCTGTCATGATACTAATTTTGCCCCCTTAAAAAGTCATGAAATCATAACCTCATAGAATACCAGGTTGGAAGGGACCTCAAGGATCATCTGGTCCAACCTTCTCTTTATAGTTTGAATGTATATATTTGATCAGAAGTTGGAAACAACCAGTCTCCTGCAGGTCAGAAGGTTCCTGGATCCTGTTTGTTATAAAGAGGGAAGATTATCTACAAACCAAAGATCAAGAAGTAAAGCCTTGTGTAACCTACACTTCTTTGCATCATTACAGAAATGGTGTCATGTGTTCAGAGCCATTGGGAATCTTACTGGGAACAACTGAAAATGCAATCCATGCATCACTGTGTAAGGGAGCAGAAGTATTTTATCTGCACAGGTGTTAATTCCATTTTTATTGCATCTGTTCATTTGGAAAGGATTAATTTAAGTGCCTCTTTCCTCCCAGATGCATGTTTCTGTAACATTTTGTATGTGAATAATTCCACTAATTTATTTTACTCAACTGCAGGTGTCTGCTGTTTTCCTAATGACCTTTGGAGTGCTGTGCATGTTACAGTCCAGCTTTACTCCTAAAGCATATTAGCGTAGACACAACTATATGATGCTGTGCTGAGTGCAGAAGGCTTTAGTCCAACGCAAGGCTCTTCTCAAGGTGTTTAGTGTATGAGCACATCTCCTCCTCCCCTGTTGTTTGGATTGTGTATCCAAAAGTGGCCCTTTTTGGTTTTCCTTCTTTGATTGGCATATCTGTGGGGTTTTCTTTTACTTTCTTCATTGCTTTTTCTGGGATCTGGAGCTATGAAGAACCAACCAAACAGACCATCACCAAGGAGGGTGAGTATTCGCTATGTTAAATACAGCCATTTTAAAGGACAGGATGCTTTGCTGCATGGGGTTTTGGGGTGGGATTGGAAATAAAGCAGGGGGTTTACGAAGGAATAGGAGACATTTTCTGATCTGTTCTTGACAGTTCATAGAATCACAGAATCCCAGACTGGTTTGAGTTGGAAGGGACCTTAAAGCTCATTCAGTTCCAACCCTCTGCCACATGCAGGGACACCTTCCACTAGAGCAGGTTGCTCCAAACCCATCCAACCAACATGACAGGTTGCTCTTTGCACTTTTATTGTCACTTGAATTGTATTATTTCACTGTCTGAACTTAAATGGTGAAGCAATATTGTGGGTAGGCTCCAGAGAGGCAGGACTCCTGTGAGCCAGCCCTCAGTTGTCACCCTCTCCTACCATGCATTGCTTTGCACCCCAGGTTGGAGCCTGTCCACTCCATCATGAAAGAAATGGGGTTTAGGATGTCCACTAGAATCCCCAAGCCCAGGACTGATGGTGAAAGCCTGTGTGGTCAATATATAACTTCAGAGCAGTCTGAACACTCACTTCCTTTGCCTTTTACTTTCATCAAACAATATGGGATTTGATGGGATTGCTCAGCCCCCTGCTTAGGGTGTGTTAGACACCGAGAGCCCCTGGTCCCTCAGTGCTAGAAGCCACCCTTTGAAAGGACAGAGAGATTTGCTACCAGTCCCCCAGCCTTTGTCACCCATCCCATGTCCCTTCTGCATCCACAGCCAGGACCAGCATGGTGCTGCTGGACCACAGGGCTGGCAGGAAGGCAGTTAGAGGGACCAGTTCCAGGGATGTTAAGTGACTTCAGTTCTGCCTTGGGTTAAGCAGTATTTAAATGATGAATTCTCCTTTCCCTCAGCTACTCCATTTCATGAAGTTCCTTTCACCAGACCCTCCTCTCGTCATCTTCTCATTGCTGATGCATGCTGTGTAGTGACATGGCCCATGTATTCATCTGTCCTTGCGTTAGAAGTGAGCATGTCTGAGTTGGGGTGGAAAGCTTAGGGCTCATATCAATCTGCGGCTTGGAGGCACTCATTTGCTTCCTGGGAGATCTTAGGGATGCCTCGCATCTCTATGCACCCGATTTCTTATGCTTTCTGCATCTAATAACTCTTTAAACAAAAAAACAGTTAGTGTCAGGGTTTAACAAGACATCTGACATCTGCTACAGTCGTAGCTGGTGCTCTATCCAGGATTGCTTTGGTTTCCAGTATGGTGGAACAAAGGTAGTGCCTTGGAGCTTAGGCTTGCTTTCATTTTAAAGGTTGAGGATGCAACACCGAAAGACCGCCAAATAACCAACAGTGGTTCCTGAAGGGGGAAAGAAAATCAGTAGAGAAGAATGTCTTCAGGCACTGAGTCTTGCACACGATGCTTTGTCCATGCCTTGGGCTTGTGTTTCAGCTCGTGGGTGGTTCATCAGCAAGGGGAATGTTGCTGGTGTGGTGGTTTGGGGTTTAGAACCCTTACATTGTCTGGCCTCCTGGTTCTAATGGGGCCTGACAGGTCTGGGAAGCAGGACTTGGATTTCACGACGTGCCTGACATTCCTCTCTGTGCAGGCTGGGAGGTGGTCGCTGGCCCCTGTTTGTCAGGACTGAGAACATTGGGGCTGTTCAGCCTGGAGAAGAGAAGCTGCGTGGAGACCTCAGAGCAGTCTCTTGCCTATTGGGTTACCTACCATGAGTGCCTATTGGAATGTAAAGGGGAAAATATCAATTGCTTTCAAATACTTTTGAATTCCATGGTTTTGTCCATTGCCAGTGCTATGTGATGTAGGGGATGCTGTGCACTGAAAGCTCATGGGAACTGGGCTCTCAGAAACAGGGGTGTTCTAGCACTGGGACCTGTGTATCTTAAATGGTTGGAGCCTTTCTCAGCTGAATGTGCACTCTTTCCCTCTCCCCAGAGTCTGAATGAATGCACACGTTGATGTGACTCAGTCTAGTACCTATGATGGACTCAGGAGCTGCCAACTATAGAGTGATCTTCAGGTGGAGATCGCACCCCAGGCATGTCCTGCAGTGCCCTGGTAGCTGCCTGCAGCACCAAGGCCTCTTCCAAAATGCTTCCTACCATGTTTGGTGTGAAAAAGTACTAAGAAAGAACATTTCCGTTTTCCAGGGTGGAATTTAATTAGGAGGAATTAAAAGGTGTAGTTTATAGTTTAATTTAATGTGATGAAACAAGGCTCAGCTCCCTCCCCCTCCTGCCCAAATCCCAACCTGAGATGATGGCCTCCAATTGCAGCTGACAGCCATGGGAAGGGAAATGCTTACCAAGAAGAAAAGGGAGAGAAATTCCACTCCAGATTTATGACTTGTGAAGCAGAGGTTGCCTGGGTTTAGCCTCATTTTATGTCACGCTGGGTCCCACAGACTTGACTTTGTTGTGTGCCCAGGAATGGGCTGAAAACTGATGGTTTTGGCTGCTTTTGCAGGTCACTTGTGTGTTCAGGTGCTATTTTGGGCTGTGGAGGCTCTTGGTTATATGGATGTGGTGAAGTGTGTGTTCAGACCCTGTGCTTGTCCCGGTGAGGTGGGGGCTTCCCAGGCATCTTTTTGGCTAGTGACAGGGATTGGGATCATCAGATTGAAAGGAATGAGAGGGGTCTGGCCCCAGGGACACTGGCATCGAAGACAGTAAGCATTGAATTCTTTTAACTTCCTTAATAGAATGTGGATGAGAACAAGTTTGGAAAGCAGAGTTATTTATTAACTAATACTATTGGGAATAGATTTCTATTTCTGTGTATTTCATATCCCAAAGTTCAAAGAGGTTAATGAAAATGCTCAGACTGTGGTTCAAATAGAAGGAATTAACTGATGATATGACTTGGCCATTATAATATTGGTGCCACGGTTTAGTAGTGGCCTTGGGGTAGTGGTTGGACTTGATGATCTTAAAGGTCTTTTCCAATCCAGTTGATTCCATGATTCCCCCCTTCCTCCCAGAAGGATGCTGGAGAGGCAAAGACCAACAAGTCTACCCTGGGGACCCATGTGCCTGTCTTTCCTGCAAGGTCTGTTAAAGGTTAGTAGCATATTCATGTCTGTATTATAATACAACCCAAAACCTGAGGCAAAGAGAAGGAATTTCCTGTTACTGTGAAGAACAGCAGATAGATAGTCTGCATGGCCAGGGTATACCAGGACCTGTCTTCTCTGTCTCCTGCCAAACCATGTTTAGGGAGGTCTTGTGCTGCAATGCTGTGGAAAGGAGCAGCCCTTGCTTTCCATTCCAGCTGCTTTTGTTTGGACAGGTAAGTATGGATGTGAATTCCTCCCTTCTGAAAAGGCCAGAAGAGCCTGTTCCAGGTGACAGGGATACAAACTGAAAGGGCTTCTGTGGATTTAATGGGAAAGGCATATTTTAACAGCTGTTTTTGTTCCAGAAGACTGACTTGGCCTACAAGGAAATGGATGGGAAGCAGTACAGGCAAGAGGCATGGATGAGCTGCACAGCATCTCATAATTCCTGGGCAGCAGCCTAGCCACAGGGCCTGTTTTCTGTCTTACAGCTTTCCATGGGATAAGGTTGGTGGCAAGTGGTGCTTAGTTTCTTCTCTGCTTTCAGGTTTCTCTGCTTTTTGGAACAGCATCTACTGATGCTGGAGACCAAGTGTCGGCCAGGGATACTCAGAGTATTGAAGATCTGCCTGGGAAGGAGAAGCTGCTTGGATAAGGAGCAGTTGCTCTGAGCAGGAGGTTCCAACCTGCTCTGGCTTTAACCTCCAGAGAGAGAAAGGAAGTTTTTGTGGCCAATTCAAATAATCCTGGTGGTACTTCCAGTGCACGTTCCACAGCTGGAAACTGGAGTCAACCTGAGGCAAGTCCTTGGGTCAGTAGCACTGCGTGGAGCGTATGGAAAGGTGGGTAAGAACAAGAAAGACACTGATTGTGAATGAGCAACCAGAGCACAGAGATGCTGGGCTCTGTCTCATCACAACCACTGCACATTGCTTTTGTTTACTGGAGAGATGGTAATGGGAAGAGAAAGAGTCCAAGATGCTCCTCTCCACAGTTCCCAAGTTACTCCATTGATCATCTCTGGTGGGTTGACCCTGGCCAGCTTCCCACAAAAACCAATTCATCAGTCCCCTCCTCAGCCAGAGAAGGGAGAGAATGTAATGGGCTGCAGGGGGATATCTGCTCCACATGGACCTCCATCGACTGCAGGGGGATTGTGCATTGTCTCTGCAGAGATTTGGGAGAAGGGTGGGCCAGGAGAGGAAAAAATGTGTCCCTTTTACCCAGTTAAGATCTGGAATTCCTTTGCAGCTAATGTGCAGCTCATGTGTCTCCCAACATGACTCTTGCTGTATTATATTTAGCTGTAAAACCCAACTGTGCTTGGATTTCCCTCTGCAGCTCTTGGAGGAGGGATTTTATCCCTGCCCTCTGTTGAGCATCCTTTCCAGATCTCACCCTGTTGTGCTCATCTCTTGCAGGCCATTCTTCTCACTGAGAGTTACACTTGGAGCAGGGAAGGAGAACAGGACTGCAAGGCCAGATAGGATTGTTTAGGTTGGACAAAGATGCTTAGCCCTTCCTGGGCTGTGTAGCTTGATGTAGCAGGTAGGTTTATTTATTCTCATCACACTAAGACTTTTATTCATGCTTCTTGGGCAGCTCAGCTGAGGAGCACTTTGAGTTTTGGAGCCAGGAGGAATTCATGCTGTTGGTAGATAGCCCTGTGCCCACTGGGTAGCCTGGGAGGAAGGAAAGGCGTTCTCCTCCAGTTTTAATGTTCTCTGGCTCTCAGCTTTTCATTCCTGGCCACACAAGTGTCAAAAAAGAGCTGTTTTGATGTTTAACTGCATTAGAGGGCTGTAACCTCAGGGCCCACGTTAACAGTATCCTTTTGCAGCCAAAGTGGAGGGTGAGAGACCAGGGTGTCTCACAGCTACATACTGTTCTATTGTGCTGTGGTTTAGATCTGCTGGTGGGAGCAACCAGAAGCTGTGTGTGAATGGGTGTTAAACGTGTTTCTGCGTTCAAATGTCACTTTCTCAAGTATCATGTGCTGTATTTGCATGGGGCTTGTGGGCTCTCAGTGTGCAACCACAAAAAGCAGCTGGAGCACAGGACCTCCTGAAGGCATCCATCCAGATGCTTCTAGTGCTTTGGGTGACATAGTCCAGTGTGAGGTGTCCCTGCCCGTGGCAGGGAGTTGGAACTGGATGAGCTTTAAGGTCCCTTTAACCCAAACCAGTCTGGACTCTCTGATGTACTTGCAGGCTTGACTGAAAGTCCATTTTGGTAGAAAAGCTTCCACTGGTGCCAGCAGAGGCTGGGTCACAGCTTGACAATGGGCTTTTGTGATGGAGAACCCACCTTCATACCACCATTGCGCTGCAAGGTAATGGAGCTGCATCAGCCATGTACCACCTGCTGCCTGACAGCAAGGGGAGGAGAAGCACCTCACTTGCAAGTCTCTGGGGTGGACCAGGGGTTTCAGCCCATGGCTGGGCTCCAGTTGTCTTCCTGGAGTGTTTGTGGCAGCTCCTGTGCATCCTTTGAGCTCCACAACAAGAAGCATGGTCAGGGATTACTGTGAACATGGGAAGTTTCTCACCTCAGGCCGAGCCCAGGAATGTGGGATGGATTTGGACCAACTTCTAGTTTTCTTTTAGAATTTTATTTAAAAATAAAAATAGAGCCTTGGGCAAGAGCCAGAAAAATCTGATCCCAAAAGGTGGATGTGTTGTGGAGTGGGGAGCATGTGAAAACAGCTGCTTAAACTGAAACCATTTCACAGATTGAAGTACAGAAACTCCCCAAAACCTGTTCTAAAACCTGGAGTGAACTCTTCTTGAAAGGCAGAGGTAGGAGAAGAGGCCATCAGCAAGTCACCTGAACCACTCCCAAAGCCACAGGCAGCTGCAGGACCCGGAGAGAAGCCAAGCCAAATGAGAAGAGGTTTTTGGACCGTGTAAGGACTCTACAGCAGCACGTTGTGCAGTGGAGGAAGGGCTGGTGTGAGGTGAGAGCCAAAACTGCACTGCCCTATGCCATGAAAACCAGTGGACGGGCTGCTGAAGGTGGGAATGGGGTCCTGGGGAGAAGGAGGTCTGCAGCTGGGAGGCTTTACAGCCACTATTGGTGTCATTACAGCTGAACAGGGGCTAATTACAGCAAGGCTTTGATGCACAAGGTGCTGCATTGATCTCATCCTGGGCAGCACAGAAAAGGGGGAGCAGTGCTCTTGAGCTGCCTGGATGGTTTCCAATAAGCACAATGTGTGGCTGTCATTGTCCTCTTTGTGATGGACTGTGCTCTGCTGGAGCCCAAGGCCTCAAAACCACATCTTGTAGGTGGATTAAGTTAAAATAAGGAAGAAATTAGATTTTCTTGCTCAATGATCTGTGATGTGTACATTTTTAGTGGATGAATGTGCCTACACGTGTCTGTGCTCTAAAGGATGCTTGACTCCATTTGCTATACTATATATAGAATATAGCCTGCCTATACTATAGGTAGGCTATTTTCTTTACAGGTTAATACTGCTTTCCTATGCACTCAGGAGATCAAAAGGGGCTGCCTTATGGGATGCTTTAAGGAGATGCCTTATGTTCAGCCCCATCCCATCCCCCTGAGGTCCTCCCAGAGGACCCCTGAGGACAGCAGTGGGGGGCAGTGGTGCTTCAGCTTGATGCCTCCTTCCCAGCTTCATACTTAATGGGCACTGGTGAGCATTTAGGCTCTGCAGGTCACTAGGAATGAGCTGATTTCTGTCGTGTTACTACAAGGTGTGATTATGAAGTGTTAGGATATACGGGCTGCAGAGTTTTACAGCTGGGTCTTAAAGGGCTCATAACAAGAGCAGAAGGGGGGGGGGGGGGCTTAAACTGGAAGCCAGGAGCACAGTCAAGTTAAGGAGTACAATGGCAATGCTAATTCCAATCCCTTGGAAAAAAGGGGGAAGGAAATGACCTAACTCCCAGTGCTGTCAAGGGAAAGGCAAGCCAGAGGCTGGAGAGGCTCCCTTGGGTGCTGGGAGATAAAGCCTTAACATCTCCTTTCTCCCTTACCTCAGAGCAGGTGAGTGTCCTTGCTTTGTCAGGAGGGCCAGGAGGGCCATACACGCCATGGAGAATTTAGTAGAATCCCAGCCTGGTTTGTGTTGGAAGGCACCTTAAAGCTCATCCAGTTCCAATCCTCTGCCACAGGCAGGGACACCTTCCACTAGAGCAGGTTATCTCCAGCTGTCTCCTTCCCTGCTCTACAGGGATCTACTGGAGACAAGGTTTCTTACAGGGCCAGGTCTTTCTCCTTCTGTGTTATTGGCCTCCAGCACCTTGCTGTTTCCTAAGTGTCTCTGGCAGTGTGAAATGCCACACCATGTTTTGTGGCATCAAAAGACTCACTTCCCAGAGGTAAAGAGTGGATCTTACAGACTCAGTTGTGGTAGTGCTAATGCACTGTCTTGGTGAGCAAGGAAAATACTCTGTCATTACAATAAGTACCTAAGTAGGATGGGGTTTTATAGCTGGCGAAGCTGATCCACCCTCCAAGTTCTCTGCATTCGATTTTCTTTTTTCCCTATGTTTAAAATGTATCAACTCCTTTCCTCTGTGCTCTGGAAGGCTTTTCAACATGGTGAAACCACACAGCAGCAAATCCACAGCTGAGTAAGTCCACAGAGAACTGATCTCGCCTACTTGCAAGAACCCATGCTACATTTGCTTCTGATTCAACGGTGGAGAGGAAAAGGAAGGAAGAGGACATTTTGGCGAAGGACCTGGCAGCACAGCATGGAAGGTGAGGCTGATCTGAAAGCAGTGCTCAATTAGCCCAAGGCAACTGGGACCAAATGCAGCATCTTGAAGTTACTGTCTTCTCTTAGGTAGCTAAAGGACTATCCTTTCTTAGGATCAGAAACTTCCAGCTATGTGGGCTTGCCTTCCAAAACTATGCACATATCCAGACTCTTTCCAGCTGGGCGCACTCTTCTGGAGCTGAGATTCTGGAAAGGACAAGCAGCTCTTCCCTTGTTTTACCTGAACATATCTGTATGCTGCCTGCTCCTGTCCCACATCCTAATGCATCTCCTTTGCTGCAGCACTGGGATGTGGGTGCCCACTACAGCCCTTGTTTTAAGCCTCCTAGAAGAAAACTTGTATGTGAAGGTTGGAGAGGGTCATGCTTGTTCTGTGCTTTCTAACAATCTCTCACTGGCAAGGGGCCACCCTGGAGTGTCCAATTCCTTGTCATTACCTAGAGAAAAGCTGGTTTTGCCTTCCTTTGGCTTTCTTAGAAGCTGGGCATGAGGAAAGGTGCTCTCCTCTCCAAGGTGACATGGTGCAAATCCTCACACTAGCACCCAGTGGATGTAGGACAGAGAAAGGCTTTCCAATGCCACATCATAGTGCTGGTGCATCACAGAATCGTTTCACCAGGGTGCTGGAGTATGTCTGCTCTTCCAGGATGAGGAGGCATAAGGCAAAATCAGAGCAGGATGAGCAGAGTGCTACTGAGTAAGTTATTAGGGAAGAAAAAGCTGGTTTTCAGGTTCCAGAATTTGGGAGCCCACAGCTTTTCCATCACCTTGGGTTAGAAAGGGTGACAAAGTGGCCATGGGCTGGAGTTTCCAGCTATCTTTGTTGATTCCAAGGGGAAAGATGTATATGCTGAAGCCTGACCAAAGCCCCTCCTGGAGGATCCATTTCCTGGGAACTCTCACTTTGATGGCTGTGAAATCCATAACGTTTTTCTTCTTGTATCTGGGAAACTGCAGTTGAGCTCCTGTGGGGCTGGTCTTTGCTTAAATAAATTACAGTAAAAATAACTCCCAAATGCAACACCAACATGGGCACGTAAATCAAAGTCTGGCGTGCCCATTAAGGTAAAGTGTCTCCTTCTGCAGGAGCTGTCTGTGGAAGTGCCATCCTGAAAGTGAAATCCAACTGAGAGGGAGGAGGTAAGGTCCCATCAAGATAGGACTCACAAATCCATCAGCAGCTTCACTTCAGAAGAGATACAAGGCTTTAACAGGGCTGTCAGCAGCATTCTTCAGGTCACACTGCTGCATAAAAGAGAGTGTTAGAACCTGGGACTTAAACTAAACAGATTTCCTATAGGAAACACACACAAAATTACATTGCTTCTAAAGTTACTTTTATAGACATTTTCCCTGAGAAATATTTCTCCCTGGAAAAATAAATTCACAGGATGTAATTAAAACAGTTCTATGTGTACACTGGACTGGCCCCCTTTAAGTGCTTCACCAAATGCACCACTAAATAAAGGAATGAAAGCCAGCTTTGTTTAACTCTATTAATAACAATATGTATTAATTATAAAATGAGACATTGTCCTGCCTGGTTTATGGTTATGAAAATAGCTTTTAATAAGGCTGAGACTGGAGTGCTCAGCTTTGCAGTTGTCTGCACTGTTAATAGGGCTTTCAAAATCTCCCCTAATCTACTTCTTTTACTTGTCAAATCCTGGCTTGATAAAGGCAATGGGGATCAGATTCCACACCCCATGGATTCTGGCAATAACCAGGTGCTGATGACTGTAATCTTTTCTGCTTTTCTTGCCATTTAGCTTTGGTTAAACAAAAAGGGGCAACTGCATTGTATTAGTTTAACTTCCATGCTTTGGGGAACAAAGCCTGAAGAGATTTGTACTGATCTATCACTGCATTAAATGCTCCCAAATCTGCTTGGATAATTAGGGATAATGATTCCCTCCATACCTGCATGGCCCAGTCCAGCCACATGTGGGAAAGAAAGGCAGTCTGTTCATGAGGCCCTCAGTGCCATGGGTTAGTGGTGGCCTTGGCAGTGCTGGGGAATGGTTGGACTTGATGAGCTTAAAGGTCTTTCCCAACCTGGTTGATTCTATGGTTCTATGATTCTCTTTATAGCCCACCTAAAACACTCTTGAGAGGCTATTGTGTCTTTCTTTTCCATTTGTCACACCAGGACTGTGTAATGGGATGCTCCTCACCTGAGGAAGGGATGCTGGTGTTACTAAACATGGGCTGAGGTAGCCTGATGCCCTAGAGATGCTTCTTCTGTGGTGGCATCTTGTGATGCTGCCTGTCAGCCCCTAGGAGATTCATTGCAGAGGGTCATGGCTCTGCCATTTCAGGGAGTGATTTGGAAGATCAAGGGAAGTGTTTGCTGGGCTCTAGTGGAGGAACATCCTTGCCTGCCCTTTTTCCCTGTATCCTCTCTACACAGGCCATCTCTCACACTGGAGTTCATTATACCCAGTTGTGTACCTTTTGGGTTTAGTTTGGTTAGTTCATGTGACCTTTTATTCTTTCTCAGAAGCTAAAACCAAAAATTACACCTTTATACCAGCGTCAACATAGCTATAGAATGGGTTTGACTGCTATATTGCTGTCCTGGTCTCAGAGCAGCTTCCAATATCTGAAGGGGCCTACAAGGCTGCAGAGAGGGACTCTTCATCAGGGACTGTAGTGATAGGACAAGGGGTGATGGGTTCAAACTGAAACGGGAAGTTCAGGTTGGATCTAAGGCAGAAGCTCTTCCCTGTGAGGGTGCTGAGGCACTGGCACAGGGTGCTCAGAGAAGCTGTGGCTGCCCCATCCCTGGCAGTGTTCAAGGCCAGGTTGGGCACAGGGGCTTGGAGCAACCTGCTCTAGTGGAAGGTGTCCCTGCCCACGGCAGGGGGTTGGAACTGGATGAGCTTTAAGGTCCCTTTAACACAACCCAGTCTAGGATTCTGTGATTCTATGTCCTATGAATATATGTATTCTATTCTGTGATTTTCATGTCCTTCAGGCACAACTGGCCAGGTTTTGTGTCTCTCTCTGCAGCACACAAGGTGATGGTTATAATGCATCTCCAGCCCGGGACTTCTTTATTGAGTGGAGAGGTACAAGCTCAGGCTCATTTGTTAACAGAAACGTTGCATCGCTGATAGGAGAAAGATTCTTTTAAGAGGTATGATCAGAATAGTCCACGTTACTTCTTTAATGGAAGCTGACTTTTGGTAACCAAAATGTTTTAAAGAGCCTCTTTGGAGCCACTTCCAACCTACACAAAAGCAGCAGAGTAAAAATGAGCAGGAGTTGGTTTGAAATACCATGAAGGAAACAGAACCCCTTGGCTGGGAGTGAGGGGAGGTGGTTAAACGTGTCAAGAGTTCATTTTCATTCCTTAATTAGCTCTAAATCCTTGTGCCCTTCCCCAGCGAGTGGAAGGCAGGCGGGGAGCGCTGCCCTGTGCCGCAGCAGAGTGTGGACAACAACCGGGAACATGTTTTATGTTCACACCCCACCTCGGAGGTAGGCCAGCATCCAGAGCATGCCGTAAACCAGGCAGGAATGCCACTGCCTGGGAACATGCTCGTAATTCTTTGTGCCCGTCTTTCCAAACCACAACATGTTCCCTTTCCCCTCCTGATAATACTTTGTAGTTTTTCTCTTTTTAATGCTGAGTTTGGAGTAAGGGGGGGTTAGTGCTTGCTTTGCTTAGTTTCCTTAAATCCCCCCTCACCAGAACAGCCAGGGGGCTTCTTTTCCCCTTTTATTCTCTTAGGGCTCAATTCAATAAATATACATCCGGCTCCTTCGCAGTCCTAGGCTGGCTTAATGAAACTGCGAGGCACTTCCAAGAGAAGGATGTTTATTTTTCTCTGCTGATTCAGTTAGGCTGGTCCAGCTCTTGTGTGCCCAGAGAGCTGCTCTATAAAGAGACCCTTGTGATTGCAGCGGGGATGCTGTGTCAGGCAGTAAGTGCCTGCACTCACTCAACACTGGGATTCGCTTGCTGCAGGGAAGGGGGTGCGGGCGGACGGCTGGATTTGCTATACATAATGCATGGGGAGAAAAAAGCCTGCTAAGAGCACAGTGTTAAGGTGGGAAAGTCAAGCACTTGCAAGGCAGATAGAGCTAGAGCTGTCTGGAGAGCAGGCTTAATTCATCTGTTTATGGGAGCACATTATGAAACACGCTCCCATTTTTGCATAGTCCTGTGCTTGTTTCTTAGGTAATAGCATTTTCTACCTTTTGCCAGAACTTGCCACCTTCAAAGAGTACTTTTTCCATAGATAATCCAACACCACAAAGATCCCAATGCCTGTTCCTAGCTGGAAGCAGCAGTGAAGTCAGGCAGCTCCAAAAGGAAGGTGGAGATGTAGATACTGCCATGGAGGACCTGGTGAGCCTTTTATCACTGGAACACAAGAGGTTCCACTTAAACTTGAGAAGAAACTTCTCAGTGAGGGCGATGGAACACTGGAACAGGCTGCCCAGGGAGGTTGTGGAGTCTCCTTCCCTGGAGACGTTCAAAACCCGCCTGGACACATTCCTGTGTAACATTATCTAGGTGTTCCTGCTCCGGCAGGGGGATTGGACTAGATGATCTTTCGAGGTCCCTTCCAATCTCTAGCATACTGTGATACTGTGATGCTGTAATGCAGGCTTATGAGCTGCTTGGTCAGTGCTGGTGAGACCAAGTTTGATGGCAGCAGCCCTATTGCAAGACACTGGGAGTCCCTTAGGCCTGCCTCAAATGCCTTGATGGGTTGGACTACATGGATTTCAAAGGTCCATCCAACCCAAACCATTTAACTTCTCTATGTGTCAGGAGGCAAACGCTGCTTTGGGACATTCTGCCTCTTTGCAATGAAGTAGGAAAACCTGGCAGTGGCAGTGGGGATGGACTCATGCAGAAAAGCCAGATGCATTCAGATGCCAGTAGTTCAGGGTGATTGCTGTCCTCTTTGGGCCTTGCATTGAATGTTCACAGAATAAACCATGTTCTTTGCCTGAGGGACCTTCAGCCAAAGCCACAAGGCAGAGGAAGTGTCTCTCTGACAATGCCAGCATTGTCAGCAATAAGCAGTGGGAAATCAGGAGTCAGGTCCCTCCTGACCCTTAGTTCCTGATGTGCAACTGATTTTGCAAAGCACCAGATTCAAACAACCCATGGATTTAGTTCTTTCATTTTTGCCTTCCCATTCACAATCTCAGTTTTCTACCCAGTGAGGAAGCCCACAGTGTATTTCTGAATGAAAACTGAGTGCCTTTCACAGCATCTTTGGCTCTGCTTCCCATGACAGGGGATTAGGAAATCTCCATCTTCCCACTGAAAGGAGGGAAGGCAATGGCTCAGGGACCATCAGAGACCTGCCAAAAATCACAAAGTGAGGGGGCAGGGGTGGGAACCCAGTTCCTATGAGTGGTAATCTGCTACCTTCCTACTTGTCTTGCCCTCAGCTGCTTTGGGACGAGCCATTCTTGCTGCTTTGAGTTAGATTTGCTTCCTACTTTGCTACTTATGGCAATGTTTAATGGTTGTAATAAACCAGAAGGCATTCCTTTCAAATTAGGTTGCTCTGCAAAACCCAACCAAGTGTTTCCATTACTACAGCTGCTTATCCCTTCAGCTGAGGACAGAGGCAGTATGCTGCAGGCTGGAAAGGGTGTCCATCCATCTACAGGCTGCTGTCAGCTCTTGGGTAAGCTGGTGTTAGTTCTCTGGTGGGTACATGTCCATGGACGGGAGATTCTGGTCTAGAAAGAGAGGATGAAACTCATTAACTATAACTTTAAACAAAGATCCTGATCCTGTCTGTTGTTGATCAAGAGTTTGAGAACAGGAAAGGGTTACAAATGATACTTGCCTCCTCTGCATTAAGGATCAACCCCAGGGCTGTAGCAGACCTCTCCTTTGCTAGACACAGAGTTTACAGCCTTGCTGTAGTTTATATGAAAGCATTGGAGTGACCTTGCATTTGACATCTTTGCCTAGGAGCTTACACTCCAGTGTTGTCAGCAATGGTGCTAGGAAAGTAAAGGACAAACATTCCTGTATTTTCCAGCAATTTGTGTTATGGTCTTTCTTTCCCTCTAATTGGAGATTAATCTCAGTCCTGCCAGAGCTAGCATCTTCTCCAAGCCTAACTGAAATACCTATTACACAAATAGTACAAGTAGTTGGTTTGGTTTATTGAAGGAAACGTATGAAACTTGGTTGGACTTGATGATCTTAAAGGCCTTTTCCAATCCAGTTGTTCCTATGCTTCTAAACAGGGAAGGTTCTCCATTGTCAGGTTAACATAGGGATGCATCTGCTTGGCAAAAGGAATCAAAGCTGTAGGTATGAAAGGCGAGGGCAAAACCACCAGAGGCTGGGCATCAGGCACTGGATGGAGCTGGGTTTCCCATCCCACATCACTTCTGCTTATTACTTTAAACACTAATCCATGCTTCTCACTGCTGATAGCAATCCCCCTGCCCATTTCCATGTTATTATACTTTCCATAACTGATTTTCCTTGGATTATTTAACAGCCGAGATGCTGCTTCTAACATTTTCTTTGCTTGCCTAACGCTCTAAAGGGGGGCTTTAGCTATTTGCTTTGCTCTCCAGAAAAGTGTCTTTGGCATTTTTCATTGAGACTAAATGCAAAGAAAGGCTACATACCTGAGGGTGAAACCTGCCCCATCCCATTGCTTGGTGGACCCAGGCTGCCTCTGTCTCTGCAGCAGTAGAGACATCCCCAGCACCAGGCAAGGGAGGAAAACTCCAATGGAGACTTTATCACTCTTTTTCAGCAGAAATGGCCATCTGGAGCCTTCCTCTGATGGGCAGATGTGGGAACATCAAAGGAGAAGCAGGCACCTCCTTTACCTCAGTCACCAAATGGAACACCTCCTTGCAGGCAGGTTAGAAAACAACATAAAATCTGCTGAGGACAAGTTTCCTTTGACAGCAAAGAGCTGCCCAGAAATGAGTCAAACAGGAACGGTTCAGACCTCCCCCACTCTCACCAGGGGATTTGCAGACAAAAGGGATTTATTTATTTATGTTTTTTTTTTTTTTTTTGCTATTTTTTCTTTTCAGAAAATACTCAGATTTTGATGGGAAAATACAACTGGGAACTTTTTCCCCCCCTTTGTTTTTGCCTTTTGAACAACTTTTGTTGCCACTTGTGTGGAATTGTCAGAAATACCTTGAGGAAAAGCAAATGCAGGAAAAAAGAGAAGAGCTGTAACAGCTTGGGAGGAGAAGAGTTTATTTCATAGATCATAGAATCACAGGATAGTTTGGGTTGGAAAGGCCCTTAAACCTCATCCAGTTCCAACCCCCTGCTACAGGCAGGGATACCTTCCACTAGAGCAGCTTGCTCCAAGCCCCATCCAACCTGGCCTTGAACACTGCCAGGGATGGGGCATCCAAATACTTGTAAGCATGTTTGCTCCATGAGCTGGGGGCCTGCGGCCAAGGTATGTGCTGCCACCCTCTTTCAGCCTAACCCACACCTCTCTGAGTACAACCAGGATGAAATGCAACCTTTTATGGAGCAAGTTTTCCTTAAGGGTGTCATTGCATGGTGAAGCCAGTGTAATCTTCCCTCTGGGACCACCTTGGGGCTGGCATGCTCCATGCAGGTGAGATGTTCCTGACCTACCATCACCCACATCCAGGCTATTGAATTTATCTGTGTTTATTGTGGTGGCTCTTTACACTGGTTTAACCCTCTTTCCTCACTTGCAGGACTGACTGTGCTGCTCAGCTGGGAGCAGCAGGTGTACTGGTCATCTGTCTCATTTTGTGCCATGCTGAAGCTGAGAGGTGGGTGGGATTTTCTAGTCTCTGCCTTTCTATGGCTTTACATTATAACCTCCACTCTGTGTCCTACATGTTCTCATGGTCAGGATTGACGAAGCAAAGTCCTGGATAGCAGATGGAAGGTCAAAATACAGCTGATGCATCAGTCCTGCCTCTTGCAGCATAATTAACTTACTGGACTCCAAGCAACCTATCTTTCATCATCTTTGTGATTACAGCCCCAGTCCTAATGACAGTCCCAGATGCTGGAATTAAGTTCTCCTCCCATCCCCTTGTTGAAGTACATCTTCATGTCCACGTTAGGAACTATACAAATTCCAGAGAAAAACGTTGCGTTGTGCTAAAAATGGGAGGACAGGAATTCCGCCCCCTCTCTCCTTACCCCACAGATGCATTTATCACCAGGGCAACTCAGCTTCAGAGTTCACTAAAAATTCAAGCTGTTGGCTTAGTTCCAGAAGGGAGAAGTTTTATAGACTGAGCTAAGCGTGAATTACAGTTCTGGTTACAGCATTCCTTCTTTTATACCTGCTTTCTTTCTTTCTTTTCTTCTTTCCTTCTTCTGGAGCAAGTCCAGAGGAGGCCACGAGGATGATCAGGGGCTGGAGCACCTCCTGTATGGAGCCAGGCTGAGAACATTGGGGCTGTTCAGCCTGGAGAAAAGAAACTGCGTGGAGACCTCAGAGCAGCTTCCAGTGTCTGAAGGGGGCTACGAGGATGCAGAGAGGGACTCTCCATCAGGGACTGCAGCAATAGGATAAGGGGTGATGGGTTCAAACTGAAAGAGGGAAAGTTCAGGTTGGATCTGAGGAAGAAGCTCTTCCCTGTGAGGGTGCTGAAGCACTGGCACAGGGTGCCCAGAGAAGCTGTGGCTGCCCCATCCCTGGCAGTGTTCAAGGCCAGGTTGGGCACAGGGGCTTGGAGCAACCTGCTCTAGTGGAAGGTGTCCCTGCCTGTGGCAGAGGTTTGGAACTGGATGAGCTTTAAGGTCCCTTTCAACCCAAACCATTCTATGATGTGTGTGCTCGAGAGGCAGTGGGAAATCTTCTTGAATGTGGATGGTGTTTGAGGGAGCTGCCCATGGCTGAGGGCTCAGAAGGAGGTTTTTGCTTTTATTTACTTATTTTCTTTTACTTGTTTCTTTTTCATTGCTTCAGCATTAGGAGCTGCAGAAATGGCCTGGCCTAACAAGTGAGTCAGTGTGTGTTGGCTGTATTGGATTACTGGCTATATTTAGACACTGGAAGCTTCTCCTTAAGAGAGTCACAGGCCCCAGTTGCTGGGTGGATTGGTTTTCCAACAGGCTGGAATCACTGCAGCAAGCCGAAAGGCCACCCACAGATAATGAACCATGGAGGGAAGAGGGGCCAAGCTCGGTCACCTGCCTGGCTGCTTCTCCCCCCTGGTGGTGGGCGTGGCCAGGGGCAGGTTACTAGAGGTGATGTGCTCCAAGAGCCAGCAGATCCCGATCTCTCTGGAGTTCTGCTGTCTTGTGCACCTCAATCAAACAACTGCTTTTTGCAGTCTTTTGAAGCAGTCCCTGGAGTTGAGCACTGTTCCAGGTACAGGAAGCATAGGCTGACTATTCCCAGGATTATTGGATAATTCAGGCTGAAAGGAATTCAGACTCAGGAGGCCATCTAGTCCAGTGTCCTGATGGGGCAAGGAACAGCAGCCAGGGCTGCCCGCAGCCTATGTCCTCAGCTGGTAAGAGAGATGTCTGGTAGGAGCAGTCAGGTATGCTGGACATGTATTTCCTATATCTTGGCTGAATGTGAACCTGTTTGCAAATTGCACTCAGAGTGATACAGATTTCCATCATAGTCTCTTTCTCCATGGGATTTCTCTTAAACATCTATTGATTTCCAGTGCTGGCCATCTCCAAGGCTGAGAGAGTCACTCCCTTGCTACCATCCCTGTACAAGAACTCATTAGGTCAATTTAGGATGGGTAGGTTTTCATATGTATTTAAGGAAAACAAACATGCACACAAAAAAAGGGGATAAACTTCTGCTAGGAAGGATAATGGGATATGGTATGTAAAAACCTTCTGCCTTTCATTGCAGCATGTCTGTAAGTACAGAAATACATAACAATTTGTGGAGAAGAGAGACTGTGGTTAAATGGAGGCATTTGCTGCAAGAACTGAATGAACCTCAAATCGTGAGTGATCCAGACACTGGTGTTCCAGTTTCATCTGGCCTGTTTACCCTCACTTTGTTCCTCTCTGCTTTGTCCATGGGGACAAATACCATATTACAAGTAAACACGCTACATCCTCTGCTGCCCTTCCTTGCCTGTCTGCACTTTCCCCATGGGAGAAGAGAGAAGAGCCAGTTCTGCATGACACAGTGAGTAAACAAATCTATTTTAAAGACAGATTGTGCTAAGCAGGAGTGGCCTCTCCCTAAGAGCTTTGAAAACTGGCATTGCATTCCTGCTGGGAAAGCAGTAAAGTACAAAGGTTTCTGTCCCTTGCACTAACTATCCCCTTGTGCACACAGGCATTATGGCTTTTGGTCTGGGGCCATGTGTATGAAAGCCCATGGACTAACATGCCTTTTTCCTCTGGATGAGACCAGCAATCCAACACCACACTTTGCAGCTGGAAGAGCTCATTAAATCTAGTCCCATTAAATCTGTGGGGGCTGCAGACGACGCAACAGCTAAGAAAGCTGTTCTGGTCTGTCTTGTGCTATATTCAGGCACATCAACGGGGAACTGAGATGTATGTGGCTGCTCCCCTGCTCATGATCAGACACAGAGGGTCAGTAGCTAGATGCAGTTGTACATTGGAAACCAAGAAGGGAACACAGAGGAGCACAATGTGGTGGGTCTCTTCTGCTGGGATGCCTGCAAACCCAGCGAAGGCATCTCCCAAAGAGTGGCCAGTCCTGAGCCCATACCAATCCTAGAAAGCCTTTCATAAACACAGGGAAGCCAAGCTGAGGGCTGGAGTTCCACCTGTCCCCACTGTCTAGTTCCCAGATCTGGTCCCTTTGACTCAAGGAGAGCCAAAGGCACAGGGTGCCCAGAGAAGCTGTGGCTGCCCCATCCCTGGCAGTGTTGAAGGCCAGGTTGGACGCAGGGGCTTGGAGCAACCTGCTCTAGTGGAAGGTGTCCCTGCCCATGGCAGAGGTTGGAACTGGATGAGCTTTAAGGTCCCTTCCAACCCAAACCATTTTGTGATTCCATGACATAACACACCCCCCCCCCCCCCCCCCGCAGCTTTTAGTTGCGGCAAGCCTTGTGTATCTGCTTTCAAACACTTGCTCTATCCCTCCTGCAGGTGCTGCGGGCTCCCCCACGCTGTGTGCACAGCACTGTGTACTGTCAGCCCTATTTTACCCACGGCTGGAAGAAGCAGCAGCCCCTCCATCAGCGGCCGAGCTCCGCCCGACTCCCGTTTCTAGGAGCCCCCCGGGCGCTGCCGGCAGAGCCGGGCCGGGCCGCGCCGCCTCCCTGCCGCTGAGGTACAGCGGCCGGGCTGCTCTGAAGGAGGAACGGCTCCTCCGGTGCTCGCTGCAGCCGCGGAAAACCACCTTAACGCGGAGGCAGGAAGCCGCGGGGCCGGCAGGCACCAATCAGGCCGGCCCGGGGAAGGCGGGCGGTGGCGGGAGGGGGGGGACCGGAGGGAGGGCGGGCCCAGCTGAGCCGGCGGCGCTGGGGGCAGATGGCGGAGGGCGGGGATCCGCCCGCTGCCTCAGGCGGGCAGGCAGGTAACGTGGGGAATAGGGGCTCCTCCCGGGGGATGGGACCCCCAGCTCGTCGCCCCGGGGAAGGGCTCAGCCTGTCTTCCCCCCCCTCCCCGGTCTCTCTCCAGCGCAGGTCGTAACCTGAAGGAGTGGCTGCGGGAGCAGTTCTGCGACCACCCCATCGAGCACTGCGAGGACACGCGGCTGCACGATGCGGCCTACGTGGGGGACCTGCCCACCCTCAAGAGCTTGCTGCAGGAGGAGAGCTTCCAAAGGTGAGGGAGGTGTCCTGCGCATAGAAACACATGGGCTGGGCTGGAAGGGACCTTAAAGCTCATCCAGCTCCAACCTCTGCCACGGGCAGGGACACCTTCCACTAGAGCAGGGTGCTCCAACCTGGCTTTGAAAACTGCCAGGGATGGGTGTTAGGATGGGAGTGTGCGTTGCTTGCCCCCCACAGTCATCCCTCTGTGGTCTCCAAGGAGGTAAATCTTGAGCTGCTTTGTGAGTGTGCATGTCCTCTGATTCCTTTCAGATCAGAGGAATGTCATACCATGAGAAATGGGGGCTTGTGTATGATGGAAGAAACATGCAAAAGGGATTAAAACCGAATATAAAACCGAAACACCCAATGTTATAAAATCTGCCCAATGCCAAGTCTGCAACCATGGGGATAGTTAATGAATTTTCCTGCACCACAGAGAAAAAAAGCTGGTTTGAGTGCAGAATGTCTCCCAGCCTCAAAAAAAGTGGCCTTTCAGCAGAAGTGAGAATGAGGCAGCCCCGCTTTTCTGCCCCTGGGCAGATGGGGTGTTTAATACCACAGACTGGGTTGGGTTGAGGGGGAGTTTAAAACTCATCCAGCCCCCTGCCACAGGCAGGGACACCTTCCACTGTCTTGCTCCAAGCCCCTGTGTCCAACCTGGCCTTCAACACTGCCAGGGATGGGGCAGCCACAGCTTCTCTGGGCACCCTGTGCCGGCGCCTCAGCACCCTCATAGGAAAGAATTTGTGCCTAAGAGCTCACCTCAGTCTCCCGTCTGGCAGGTTAAAGCCATTCCCCTTGTCCTGTCCCTACAGGCCCTTGTCCAAAGCCTCTCCAGGTTTCTTGCCAGCCCAGATTTCCTGTGGACCCCTGATTTGAGATTTTTGCCTTATTTTGTCCCATATCACATAAAAACCCTGTGGCAGCAGGGACAGGTTGACGTTCCTTGCAGGAAAAGCAATATTGGGTGGGAGGAGGAGGGCTGGAGGCTGCAGCACCATCACACAGCTGATGGAGTGAGCGGAGAAGTGGCTTCTTTGAGGGTATGTGTGGGGTGGTCATCCCCACACCTCCAAAGTTAAAGGGGAGCACTTTTATCATAAGACTTGAAAGATGAGGCGTTGACATGGTTAAAAAAGCCCCAGCTGTGGGATTGCTCTCCTGGCAAACTCTGTAAGCACACTGTACAGAAACTGCTTTGTTCTGTACCCGTTACGTGGGCTCATGGAGTGAGCCAGAAGAGCACATCCACTGCTGTGCTGGCTAAAGAGCATTTTCACCAGCCTATATTGGCCTTAAAGAAATCCCTTCCTTTCTGTTCAAAGGGTACTGGCAGTGATTTGCAGAGAATTTTGGAGTGAGGGCTAGATGCTTATGAGACTTTTAGGGCTAACCTGAGATCTGCATGATCATAAAGGCTAATGCAGGTTATTTCAGAGTGATCTAAGCAGCTGCCAGCCAGATCCATCTCTTCCAATAACTTGGAAAAGGCTCTTATGCCAATACACCCACCCAGAGAGGATGCTAATGGCCTCCTGTTCAGACGGGGATTGCTGCACCTCTCCACTTTGCTGCTTGCTGGCAGGGCTAGGTTTCCCTGGATTTGTGTTTGTCATGCCGTGGTGCCTGGCTGCGTGTGGATGTTGCTGGCAGTGTGACATGTATGTATGCCTGCATTTCCATGCGCTGTTTCTTTCCTTCCTATATCCTCTTGCTGTTTCCCTGCTGCTTTAATGACTTTGTGTCCCCTTTGGAGCAGCTTGAATTAAATGGTTATGATCCCCAGCTTGGTTGCTGCTGATATGGGACATTTCCCTGTAAAAAGGGACTATCTTACTTGTTTATTGATAATTTTCCCTGTGTTTTGATGCAGGGTTTGCCCTCACTGTGCATATGTGCAGCTGAGCTGCCATAAATCCTGTCTCCCAGGCACTATGGTGTAGCCTTCTGTTATCAGCAGGAGCTTTTCAGGACTGCTCTGAAGTGCCCAAAATGGGCAGGAAAAGCTTCATGGGAGCAGTTTGGGTTCTCCCAGATCCTCCTTGGGGGCTGGAGGAGGTGGGGTGCTGGTAGGCAGCAGGAGGCCTCCTCTGATGGAATGCTGTCCCCCTCCAATGCAGCCGGATCAACGAGAAGTCGGTGTGGTGTTGTGGCTGGCTGCCCTGCACGCCCCTGCGCATCGCTGCCACTGCCGGCCATGGGCCCTGCGTGGACTTCCTCCTTCGCAAAGGGGCTGAGATCGACCTGGTGGATGTGAAGGGGCAGACAGCCCTCTACGTGGCTGTGGTCAACGGGCACCTTGAGTGTGCCAAGATCCTCCTGGAAGCTGGGGCTGACCCCAATGGCAGCAGACACCACCGCAGCACCCCTGTCTACCACGCGGCACGTGTGGGCCGGGCAGACATCCTTCAGGAGCTGATCAGGTGAGAGCTCAGGTACATGCTGGAGGTGGGTGACTCTACCTCCCTCCTCTTTCGTTGGGAACTTTTCCCCCCATGGGGCTCATCCATTCCCTCCTTGCATGCCCAGTGTCTCCGCAGGCCTAGTGAAGCTCACTAAGTGACAGACAGGGTGAGAGGATGGAGAGGTACCCAAAAGGACATCCTTGTATTCCCCATTGATTGGCCCTGGCAACAGGTCTGTGCCCTGCTCTGTGGCTCCCACGTCTGTTCTCCTAGGACGAAGCCCAAGAGAGGAATTTCTGTTTCTGAGCCCACCATCCACTATTCAGTCAGATCCAAACTGTTCAAAGTATCTTCCTCCCAACTCATATCTTGACTGCCAGCTCCATGTCATGGCTGAATTTATGAGTGAGGTGGATCTCCCAGTGAACAAAAAGTGTTTGGAAACAAATCTCTCTTTTGCTTAGCTCTGCTGCTCTGACCATTTTCAGCCCTTAGGAGGTGTTTGTCACTGGCACTAGCTATTGCTGCCTGCGTGGTGTTTGCCCATCATTATGATGCCCTCTGTGGCATCTGATTCAGTCTCCCCTTGCTAGACATCTGATGCACAGCTTCATTGATGGGATGGCACCTCTGAGGCAGAGAGGGATGGCCATCACTATAAGGTGATGAACAGTAACCTTAGATTTGGGTGGTGAGTGACTGGTGACCATCCATCCCTCAGGAAACTTTCTCTGTAGCACCAGCAGTGCTCAAGATGTAGCAGCAGGCTGTGTGAACTTGACTTTTCTTCCTCTGTGGTGTGCTGTGATACTTCCTTTCTTCTAAATTGGAAGTTTTTTGTATAAGGGACTAAATGGGCTGTTGACACCAAATACTAAGGGAGCATCAGGGGAAAATACAGGTTGTAGAAAGAAATAACAGAAGAAAGAGTGTTTGGATTCCCACAGAAATGCTGTCCAAGAAACCCCTTCAGTGACCACAGAGGCTAGAAAATAGCAACCAAAAGGGTTTGAATAGCAACATTTCAAATTACTTGGGGATTTTCTCCTCTCCTTTTTGCTTGTGGGGAAGTTAATTTTCCTACAAGTGCAGCTTTAAGGAAGCTGCAAGTAGAAAGAAGGGGAGATGGTCCCCCCTCCTCTTTCCTTTCTCAAGCTGAGAGAAGGATGTCCCCATTGCCATGTGCTTGTCAGTACAGGCTTCAGCTCCCATGCTGCATTCCCAAGAATCTGCCCTGAGATATCTGCTAAGGCAGAGTGAAATGTAGCAAATGGTGTTTCAGCAGCACAAGGGAGAGCTGATGCATTGATTTATGTGTCTACTCCTAGGGATACCTTGCCAGCAATATTAAAAGCAAGAGTTTGGAACACTTTCAGGCTTAAAAATGAACTGGAGTTTGTCCAATGTGTTTTTATTAGACAATGTCTCTCCCAAAGCTGCTAAGCTAATACCAAATTGTCAGATTGCCCACAATTTCAAATATCTTGGAGGATGGATTTCACAGATCTCTTCAGATTTGCTTACTTTCAAATGCAGTCTGTTGTTGCAGAGCTCACTTGGAGAATTGTAAGATGTTGCTCTCAAAGGCTTTGGCAGAGGGGATGCAATGAGGAAGACACTTTTACTGGGATAGAAGGAAGTATTTCAGCATATTCAACTCCAGAAACCCTCCTAAGTCCTAAAGAGAAAGCCCAACCCAGCCAGGCTTGCTGCAAGTGTCTAAACATCACCTAGTTCATCTCTTTGTTAATCATATGGTAGCACAATCAGGATTCCTGGATACTCCTATAATTGCTGAACCAGCTACCCAAGCAAGAGGTG